TATCCAGTCAAGACAGCCTTTAGCTTTTGGGCTGATTGTTTACATGAAGACTTTATTTATATATTCTATTATCCTTTCAAAGTATCTTTTATAATGTGCTTTGCTAGGAAAGGTGATAATATCAGGGATAAAAAGTTGATGAAAGACTCACCGCCTTCTGAAGTTTAAAGTCTACCAGAGCGATAGACATAAAGTAAATTATCAAATTAATTGTGGGATGATATACTGAGGAGTATGATTATACTGCTTCTAAGTGCTTTCGTGTAAAAACATATATGTTAGAGAACATAGTTCTTTTGTGAGACTAATCGCAAATATTTTTCCCAGGCTTGTTATCTGCTTATTGCCTTTGCTTATGATATATATTTAGGCTTTGGAGTATGCAAGAGTTTTTTATTTTAAGTTGCGAATTTATCATCTTTTATGATTTCTGAGTCATATTTAGAAAGGCCTACCACTCCCACATTATAATAAAATGCATTCATATTTTCTCAAGTAATTCAGTGTTTTAATTTTTGTATGTTTTAAATTCATTTAGAGTTTATTTTGGTGTTGTGTATGGTATAGATCAAAATTTTATGTCTTTCCTTATGGCTGTCTAGTTGTTTCAATAATATTTTTTAAAAATGCCCATTTGCTTGTTGGATCTACTTTTGTGTCCTTCAGACATGTTTTAGCCCTAGTTCTACAGTTAAACATATTCAATGCTCACGGCAAGTTTTTAGTTTTCTTTTTTGCCAAAATTTCTCCAATAACCTGTTGACTGGATGAAGATTATTCTCTAGTAAATTACTCAGTAAAGAGCTTGCCTTAGTCCATTTTGTGTTGCTGTAACAGCATACCTGACACTGGGTAATTTATAATAAACAGGAATTTATTGGCTCACAGTTCTGGAGGCTGGGAAGTCTGAGACTATGGCACAAGCAACCGGTGAGGGCCTTTTTGCTACATCCTCACATAGTGGAAGGCAGATAGGCATGAACCCTCATTACCTAAACACCTCCTATTAGGCCCCGCCTTTCAGAACTCATATTGGGAATTACATTTCCAACGCATAGATTCTGAGGGTCGCATTCAAACCATAGAAGGGTTCATGAAGCAACAAGATTTACCTAGTTACTACATATTCAAAGGTTTTATTTTCTGTAGCCTTTATACTTTGAATAACATATTGGCTGGACATAAAATCCTTGGCTCATGCTATCTTTTCTTTAATGGGTGTCTTGTAGGTTCTTCTCTGTAATCTGCATGTGAATGTTGCTGTTGAGAAGCCTGATGACAATCTAATTTTTTCTCTTATAAATGACTAGGTCTCTTTGCATGACTGACTAAAAAGTTTATTTCTTCATATTTTAAGTACCATAATATAGTTTGGTGATTACTATTGCAGGTAATTCTCTCAGGTAAAAGTGTGACCCTTCAATATGTAGAGTCGTATCTTTGATTTCAAAACATCTTTTTCTTTAATTATTATTTAAAGTATTTACTCCTTTATATTTGTTTTTTCTTCTTTTGGCATGTGAATTATATATATGTTGGACCTCCTTTGCCTGTCTTCCACATTCATCACTTTTGCTTTAATTATTTTTTCCACAAATTTTTTTATTGTGGTGAAATACACATACAATTTACCATCTTAACTATTATTAAATGTACAGTTCTGAGATAATAAGTACATCATATTGTGTAAAAACTCTCTCTAATTCTTTTTTATCTGTCTTTTTTTCATTTCAATTTCCACGGACTTTTAAAATTTCTTTTCTCTAGGACACGGACATGTGTTTTGTGGGGTACACGCTCCCCTAAGCACTCCTTGTATTTTAGTCTTAATTCCTGAGATGATTATGTCACTTCTCTTTCATATCCTCCTATCGTCTAGTTAAATTCTTTTTTGAGGTCTTTTACTTCTATTTTGTGAATTTTTTTATTGTTAGACAATTAGGAAAATTATGTTGAAATATTTTTCCCCTCTGCCTATTGTAGTCTTTTTTAATGATGAGTTTTTTTTGTTAATAAAATACAATTTTATGTCATATTTGAAAATGGAGCCTTTGTTTGGATGTGGTAGCTTTGCCTTTTTATTATTCATATCTGAATTAGTTGTATTTTTCTGGCCCAGTTGCTATAGGAGTATCCAGTGGCATTGTGTTTGGAGGTGGGAAAGAATTAATATAGCCTCTCCTGTTTCTCAGCTCATTGGCTCCTCCACCTGTTGCACTTAATGGGTAGTTTATTGGATATATTGTGATACTATCTTTGTTCTCATTGCACTCCCAGTCATTTCTGTCTATTTCCACCAGTTCTTATGCAATACCCTTTTCATTCATAGAGCTGTCCACAGCAGTGCCCCGCTAGGTGGTCCCTCACATTCTGGTGATGAATATCTGCTGCTGATTCCAGGTTCTGCTGATAACGGTTTCTTTTTCTCAGAGCACTGACCACTCCACCACCTCACCATTCATTATTATGGCTTCTTTGATTTGCTCTCCCCAACTCCATACTTACTTTCATATACCTAGAAATCTGTGGACATTTTTGTCTTCTTAAATTATATATATTTACAGCATACTACATGATGTTTTTGAACATGTATACATTGTGAATGATTAAATCAAGCTAATTAACATATCTATCACTATACATACTTGTTTTTTTGTGGTGAGAAGATTTAAGATCTACTCTCTTAGCAATTTTTAAGTATACAATATATTTGTATTAACTATAATCACCTTATGGTACTATGGATCTCCCAGACACATTCTTCCTTTGTAACTAAAACTGGATTTTTTTCATCTTCTAATTTTGCTGAAGGTGTAGGATTTTAAGATATTAATTCTCCTTGTATCTTTGTATGGTTATGAGAAAGATACATTGATTCCATTCTAAGCTACTGACATGCTCCTATATGGCCAGGAGACTACCTGATTATCTTAGATACTGTGTTTGTTTTCTATTGCTGCATAACAAATGGTCAAAACTTAGCGGCTTAAAATAACATTTATTATTTTATAGTTTCCACGTGTCAGAAATCTGGACATGACTTATGTGCATCCTCTGCCTAAAGTCCTTACAGGGCTAAGTTAAGGTCTGTAGGGCTGCGTTCTCATCTGGAGGCTTGACTGGGGAAAAATCTGCTCCCAAGCTCATTCAGTTTGTTGGCATCATTTATTTCTTTATGGATGTGTGACTGAGGCCCCTGTTACCTTGTTAGATGCCTTCCTGGAATCACTCTTAGCTCCCAGAGGCCTCTCTCAGATCCACTCTGGGGCCTGCTTCATAGGCCTTCTCACAACATGACAGATTATTGTTTCAAGCAGGATCATTTCTCTTTAGGAAAAGGTAACTAGGCCAGGCATATGGCTCACATCATAATCCCAGCACTCTGGGAGGCCAAGGCAGGTGGATTGCTTGAGGTCAGGAGTTCAAGACCAGCCTGGGCAACGTGACAAAATCCCCTCTCTACAAAAATACAAAAATTAGCCAGGCATAGTGACACACCTGTAATCTCAGCTATTTGGGAAGCTGAGGTGGGAGCACACACGCCTGGAAGGTTGAGGCTTCAGTGAGCTAAGATTGTACCACTGTACTCCAGCCTGGTAACAGAGCAAGACCCTATCTCAACACCACCACCAGCAAAAATAAATTAAAAAAGAAGAAAAAGGAAAGAAAAGAAAGTAAGGCAACTACACAACATATTATATCTGAATGACTTTGAGTTCCTAATTATTGTGATTAAAAATTTAAAGTGCTATTTTGTTTAATAATTCAATTTACATAACTTATACAAAGTAGCTGTTTATTCTAATTATTTTCATTAGCATTAACATATTAGCTATAACTTTTACCTGTGGAAGGAACACTTTCTCTAATTTTAATAGAAATACCACATGGGATAACAGCGGTCTTGCTTCAGACTTTCTGCCAGCTAATCCCTGGGTGTCCTCCGATTGCCAGCTGGGGACTGCAGTGTCCTACCCATTTTCCTTTCCCTTTGTGGGCTACCACTGCCCCTTTATCACCTGAGTTTCTTCTCTTCCGTGTCTGGTCTTCAGAGACATTCTCTTTAGTTCTCCCTAACTTGCTGTTCTAAAGATGAGCTTACAAACCACTTTTATTTTAAGGGCTTATTCATGATGGCAAAACATCCAAAGTCATAAATAAAAATTTCAGACTCATAAGGTGGTGTCTGTCATTGTCACCAACTGTAATTCCCGGTCCCCTTGCTAGACCTCTGAGGCCCTCACCCAAGATTCCCCACCCTATGGGAAATGGAGCTCACTCAGCATGTCTCCCTCAGATGCTGGAAGCCATGTGAGGCTGCGGGATCTAGGAGAGGTCTCCCAAGCTTTTGTTCCTGAAGTGTGCTTTGATCAGTGTATAGAACAGAGTGGATATACAAGTATCTTCTCAAGAGTGCATGGTGCTTTCCAAGACCTCTGGCCTGAGCATTCCCCCTCCAAGGGGCCGCAGCTCTGGTATCCCTAGTAGAGCCTGACTGAAAAGTCTTATGCATCAGCCTCTTCAGAGAAGGGATAGGGATTCTTGGAGATCAGAGTCGAGGATTGAGGGCAACTGTCAGGAATGGGTGAGGAGGGGAGAAACTTGGTTTGTTTCAGGAGAAGAGTCTGAAGTTGAGGTGGGTGGTGGATAAATGGGCATGGTAGCTACAGGGTCAGAATAAGTTATAGTGATGACACATTGCTAGCTGCCTCCTGGGAAAATGCCTTTCAATTTCCGTCCCTTCATCCTGCCCTGGCTGGTGACTCCAGTGGAACCTGGAGCAGATAGATCTTTATTGGTAGAAAGCTCCCAGATGTCAGGGACAGAACCCCCAGCACCCCAGGTCTACCAGGCATAAGGGCTGGGGATGAAGAAGGAACTCAGGGAGTGTTGGGTAATCTTGTCCTTTCCCAGGGAGGAGCTGCCTGGGCTTATTCACCGGGCGGGTCCCCAGGTGCTCTCAGTGTGTTCCCACTTACGTTTCTCCAGGTGCTGTAAACGGAGCTGGCTTGGAGCCTCAGCCCTTTGCCTTCCTCTTCTCTTTCATCTTTTGTTAGGGATCCTGGGCTCTCCTCTTTTCTCTGAGAAGTCAGAGTCTAAGTGTTCCATTCCCAGGGATGGAGTGCCCTTAGGGCCAGGGAGAGTGAAGGCCGGAGGAGGCACCAGCTGGAGAAGGAGGGCAGGGCCTGGATGCCAAGTCTGGAAGGGAAGGAGCTGCTGGCCAATCAGGAGTGAGCCGACTGCACCCTGACCTGCTGGGCTGGGACAGCACAGGACCCACAGGTGTCTGTGAGTTGAGTGTAAGTGTGTTTCTTCTTCAGAAGCCCTCTTCCAGCAACAGGACTGAAGTCTATCAAGTTAAAATGTGTACATGGTGGGAAAAGTTCCCCTGATCTCCCTTTTGGAACAATTTTTCCAAATAAGAAAACTTTCTTTATTCTAAATTCTTCTAAGTGAGTTTGGTTTCACCCCTCCTAGATGTTTCTTGAAAAGGCTGTGGGTTCTGGGGTTACCTCTACCTAATTTCTTCCCTTTCTATAGAGTCCTGAATTCTTATCTGTTATGTCTCACTTATCTCCTGCTCTAATATTTCTTTAAGTATACAGGATGCATAGCAATGTGAACCAAGGTGGTAAAACCTTGGCTCCAGCTTATCCTGCCGGTTTAGTGTTTGTATTCATGGTGCAGATGGGGGACACTATCAGTCCTGTCTCTGGCAAGGTCAGGGACTGGGCTCAAGCCTTCATATTTTGGATGTATGATATGACAAGCTTGGGGCAGGAATTGCCACTGATGTTTCATGGTTGTAGAAGCACCATGATTAAATGACCAGGGTCCAAACCAGAATTGATAGTGGCTTCCAGCAGCTTTGCAGGAGGCCAGCTCCTAACAGGGCTTCAGTCTTGGGAAAGTGCATCCTCACCTCTCATTTAACTAACGAGGGAGGCTGAACATTTTCCCTCATATTTATTAGGTGCTGGCCTCCTCATTTGTGATCGGCTCATTTTGTCTTTACTGCAGTTTTCCTGAATCGATGGACTTGTGGGTGTTATCCGCTAGGTTGTTGCTTGTCCTGACCCCGGAAGTAGACAAGTTCTACTTTTAAGAGGTGGTTTTAAAATTTTTCCATCTGAGGACTACTGATTGCAGTTTAAAAACCCTGGAGGGGAATGATCTATCCCATTCGGTATCAAACTCTATACTTTCTCACTAGGAAAACTAAGGGGGGAGAGTTGATGTTTTGGTTGGTAGCTCATAGAGTTGAAGTTTTGGTCTGACTGAACATGAGTAAGCAATTCACTTCTGCCTGGAAGAGCAGGAAAGGTTCCTGGAGATTGAAAAGATGATAGTGGTCCTGTAGTTCAATGTTCATCATCAGAAACTTGAGCAGGTTGTGGTTTCAGGCAGAGGCTCTGGAGTCAGACAGACCTGGGTATGATCTGGCTCTGACCCTAGTAGCTGGGAAACTTAGGACAAGTGACTCAAACTCTCTGAGGCCCAGTGTTCTGATGATAAGTGTGGGTCTCACAGGTCATTGTGAGACTAGTGAATATCCATGGAGTCCTCAGCAAATACCTTGGAACACAGAATGCAGTCAGTAAGTGGCAGCTGCTGTTATTATGATTCTCACTCACGGAGAGGTTAGTTGAGCCTCCATCCGGGGTCTTTGCAGAGTAGAGGACTGGACTGAATGACTTTACATACCTGGGACTCTCAAATGGTACAGGGGGTAAAGCCATGCCTGCTTCTGTTTGTAGTTCACTCCACCTGAGCCTCAGTGTTTTTTATTTATGAAAATGGGTTCTTTTTTAAAGAATACTTATCTTACAGGAATTTTGTAAGACTTAAATATGAAATTGGACCACTAGGTATGAAAATACATACACAGAGTTTTTTTTTCATAACAGCAACCTCGAGGATTTTAGAAATTGTTATTTTCTCTCCCAAAAGGCCTAAGATCAGCACTGGGGCTTCTATGAGGGACCAGGAGCTAGCCAGGTGCTGACCCTCAGGAAGGCACAGGATGGCAGGGGAGGCAGAGAGTGGTGCCACATAATAGGCAGGTGCTCCGCTTGCAGAGTTAGCATGGCTGTGTTAACTGTCAGCGTCTCTTCCAGGGCCGCCGTCCACACTCTTGCAGTCACAGTCCTGGGACCACGTGGGGATGCTGCTGTGGCTTCTTGCCTTCTCCATTCTGGGTCTCCAGGCCTGGGGTAAGTTTTCTTTCATTGTATCAGAAGTGCTTTTGATGAGCAAGAGAAGATCCATTCTCAAGTTTAGTAACAGAAACCCATCCAAGTGCTTTCCCTTTGCTTGCGGGTAGGATAGCTTTGCAATTTGGAGTCCCGGTCTAGAGTTGACAGATCTTCATTCAAATCCTTGCCTGCCCTTTGTTACGGTGGTCAACAAGTCATTCAATTTCTTTGAATCTTATTGGCTCCCATGATAAAAGGATAATATTGCTCATTTCTTCGGGTTGTTTCTGAAATGTCCTTCCTCATAAGGACAGGCTGGTGGTGTCTAATCCACAATAAATCATCTCTAAAATGTCTAGTTTTGGAAGGCAGTCACAATGATCTATGTATTTCTATTCCAAGAACTTTGTCTGGCACCAATAGGTGCTTAAGACGTGTGTGTTAGCTTAACATGTTATAACTGTTTTGGTATGTGACACCCTGCTGAGTACCCATGAGTTGATTAGTAGGTCTGCAGGTGAACCGGGAAAGGTGGCACAGCTCAGATAAGAGAGCAGGTGAGACTGCAGTGCTCCTGGAATGGAGGGAGGCTGGGGGAGGTGGGGAGATGAAGGCCTCTCTGGGCAGATGTGGGAGGCAGAGGCAGGCCAAGGCCAGAGACGTCTGCGGTTCTCCTCTGTGTGCTGCCTAGAGGACGTTAGGTGACCTGGGGAGGCTGAGAGGCTGTGCACTGTGGAGTGGGCTGTCTGGCCCAGCCTCTGCGCATGCTGGCCACATGCACTCTGAGGACCAGCCCCAGTGCTCTCCTGCAGGGGATTTCCCACAGTTCTCCTGGAGTGAGACCGAAGCCAGAGGCTCGTCGCAGAGGTTTATGGGCCTGTTTGGCAGCATCCCGCAGCTCACTCACAAGAGCCGCAATGGTGAGGCGGTTTGGAAATTGGCTGGGGCTTCTTAAGTGGTCAGAAATGTTTCTCAGGACTTGACGATGTCTGCGCTGAGAGCGCATGGGGTGGGGAGGAATCTCAAGAGGTTCGTCTCCAACCACTCCCATGGATTGTCCTGAGTCCTTAGGCAAAGGGGGTTCCTGGGCCTAACAAGAGAAAAATAAGAGAAACCCAGATGAAGGAAGAAAGAAGGAGGCCAGACACAATGGCTCACACCTTTAATCCCAGCACTTTGGGAGGCCGAGGCGGGTGGATCATGAGGTCAGGAGATCAAGACCATCCCAGCTAACATGCTGAAACCCTATCTCTACTAAAAACACAAAAAATTAGCCAGGTGTGATGGCAGACGCCTGTAGTCCCAGCTACTCGGGAGGCTAAAGCAGGAGAATTGTTTGAGCCAGAGAGGCAGAGGCTGCAGTGAGCCGAGATGGTGCCACTGCACTCCAGCCTGGGCAATAGAGCAAGACTCCGTCTCAAAAAAAGAGACAGAGAGAGGAGAAAAAGAAGGAGAAAAAACCCATAGAGAAAAGACATGATCTCCACTCCCCAGCTCCAGCATGACAGTGTCTCCACTGTCCCTCAGAGCACTCTTGGGGCTCCCACAGTGAGGATGGAGAAAGGGAGCCTTCAGGCAGCCTGTAGCCACAGGTGGGATCTCACAGCCCTGCCACTAGACAGTTTTTGCCTGGAAGAGAGAGGCGCAGACGCCGTGTTCACGGAGCCTCCTGTGGGCTCTGGAGCCCCTAGCTGAGGAGACTGACAGAACTTCCTTCAGAGAGTCATGGTTCTTAGGGGTGGGCAACACGAGAGACACAGTTGAGACCGGGGCAAATGGCAGTGAGGAAAACGCATCATCAGGCTTCCAGCTCAGAGCGCCAGGGTGGGCGGCGGGGTCAGCTGGGGTGCTTTCTGAAGGAGGAAAGCATGAAGTAGGCCGGGGGCAGTAGGGGATGGGATTTGCCCTTCAGGGAAAGACAAGGAGAGACTGTCTGGGAACAAGGTGGCACGACTCCCCAGGCTGAGTGCAGCGTGGGTCTGGGCAGTGGTTCAGCTACAGTGGAGAGGGGGAGGGGGCTGTGGGGGTAAAGGGCTCCCCCAGGGCGTCTCCCACCCTTGGGGCAGGGGGTGCCTGAGCGTGAGAGGTCAGGGCACATGGGCGGCCTGTTGGGGGAAGATGGGCGGGGCCTGCTGTGTGCCATCCTGTGGTCTTCCCTACAGATACTCCCACCATTATCCCCCGCAAGGAATGGGGGGCAAGACCGCTGGGCTGCAGTGCCTGGCTGACCCTGCCTGTGGCCTACGTCATCACAGACCAGCTGCCCGGGATGGAGTGCCAGGAGCAGAGCGTTTGCAGCCAGATGCTGCGGGGGCTGCAGTCCCATTCTGTCTACACTGCAGGCTGGTGCGATGTGGCATACAAGTAAGAGGCTGGCCAAGTCCCCGAGGCCTGCATCCAACATCACCCCTCTCAGGGTGCTTCCACTTCCCCTTCTCTGTGTGACTGTATTTTCTGGGCTTCATTAACATTGTTCGTAGAATGAATAAAAATGGTAAAAAGGAAATGAAATAAAATCCGAATCCTCCGGGGATTGCAAAAGGGGTGACTCTAAGCCACTTATTCAAGTGGCTTTCGATTCTGGCGCTCCTGTGAAAAAGCGAGGAAGGCTATGTGACAACGGCGGTTCCAACTGAGCTCTTGGAACTCATGAAGACTTAGAGTTTACAGAGGTCTCCACAAATATCTCCCAGTTCGGCCCTCCCGGCTACTCTGAGGAAGGGGTTGGAGAAATATTCTCATCTTTATTTCACCAGTGGGAAAGTCACGGTTCAGGGAATTAAGAACTCTGCCCAGAGCGAGGAAGCGTGTACCCAGCCAGAGCTGTGTCAGGGTGCCTGCCACTGCAGCCTTTGCTCCTCCCACCTCACAGGGACTCAGACCTGGGAAGCAGTGTCCCACTCATTTCCCTGAAGGGCCACTCTGACAGCAAGGCCGGGGACCCCACGGGGGGAGAGTGGACGTTGGCAATGGTGGGGAGCAGAGCCCCGTGCGAAAACAAGGGAGAGCATGAAGCAGCTGTGTACTGTGCATTGAGTATCCTCTCTGGGGATCATCAGTGGAGGCCCCGAACATTTTCCCCCTTAGCCTCAAGAATGAGGAGACAGATGCAGAAGGAGAGGGAAAGAGAGAGTGGGAATCGGGCTATCCCCCACGGAACTCTAAAGGCAAACATAAATGATTTCTGAATTATCCATTTTGGAAAGGAAAACCTATGTCTTCTTATTTATTGATTTTTAAACACAAAGAAGAGCAGCTGCAGGTCCTGGTTGTGGCCCGCAGCACCCCTGGGACGGCGGAGTCTTCCCTGTCTGCCCACTGTGCGTGCTGTGTCAACCACGACTCACCTGCCGCCCCTGCCACCAGCTCCTCCACCATCCTGCTGTTGTCACTGCCGTGTTGCCTGGTTTGGTCACTGTATTCCTAAGTTATTTCGGCCATTGCGTCTCTAAGTCAGGTTTCTGCAGTGACACTCTTGACAATCCTCAGTCTTTGCAATGCAGCTGACAGCAGCTGTAAGGGACTGTTCACAGTGGACTATCCACAGGCTGCTGTAGGAGTGAGCAAGGGGCCTGTGAAAGAACTGGCAGCAAAACCAGGGAAGGGGTGAACGTGCCAGGGCTCCCCACCCACTCCTCAGGCCGACGTCAGTGTAGGGTCTTTCCTTGACCTCAGGGAGGTATTCTCTCTGTGTTCAGTTTACTGTGGAAACTCATGATCTATTAAAAGCTGGATATGGCAAAGTTGTGAAAACATCAATTCTGAAGGCCAATTGGAAAGTGGAGGAGAGAAATTATAAAAAGGGCAGGCGTAATAAAAGAAGTAGAATAAACAATATATATTTGATTTTAAAAATGAATGTTAAAAAGAAACATTCTGTATTTTTTCTTCTGAATGCACTTTTTTTAGCTTTTCAAAAAATTTATTTATTCTTTAATTTCTGGGGTACATGTGCAGAACGTGCAGCATTGTTACATAGGTACGCAGGTGCCACGGTGGTTTGCTGCATCCATCACCCCGTCATCTACATTAGGTATTTCTCTTAATGCTAGCCCTCCCCAATCCCCCCACCCCCTGCTATCCCTACCCTAGTCCCCCACCCCCCAACAGGCCCCCGTGTGTGATGTTCCCCTCCCTGAAAAAGGAACATTCTAAACAAATTTCTATGATAAAGAAGAGCTTAAGAAAATTCCTAAAAAGAAACTGAAGAAAAGCATCAATATAAAAGAAACTATTGAATATGGCATCACTGTTTTAGAGAATGTTCAAGTGCTTGGTCCTATAATTTAAAAACCCAATATATTAATTCTTAAGTTCTTGAAAACTATTGGACTAATGTTTTCAGGTCCTTGAGTGTCACACATTCAAATTCCACTTTGAACCAAGTGAGTATTTTTCAAGTGACGTTCTGGAAAACACACATAAGCTAAGTCACAACAAAAATTAAAACATATTCCCGTGTCTCTTGGAGGTTTAAAACTGGTTATTCTGCCCTCCTGTTGTTATGGTATTGGGACATAGTACTTATTTATGAGCGTCCAGAACCCCTTTCCCTTTTGAGGATCAGTGAGAGGTTTTCATTGATGGGCATTTGCCAGTAAACTCATTATTTCCTTCTTGGCAGCTTCCTGGTTGGGGATGATGGCAGGGTGTACGAAGGTGTTGGCTGGAACATCCAAGGCTTGCACACCCAGGGCTACAACAACATCTCCCTGGGCATCGCCTTCTTTGGCAGTAAGAGAGGTAAGGGTCACTCCCCGCGGACCCTGTGCTGGAGAGCTGCGTACAGTCTCCTCCACTCCCCAGGCTCCACACTCACCTTTTCATCCTACATCATACTTATTTTCCCTGATGATCGCCCTTCTCTTGAAGTTCTTTTCTGCTTTGGATTCTGTGACATGCATACTTTTTGTCCTCTTCCTCTTTACGGGTCTGCACTCCTGTGATATTGCTGACGCCAGCACGGACATTGCTTGAGCTCACAGTTACTGCCATCACTTCTGTAGTCTGAGGTTGTCTGACATAGATGCTGTGACTGCCAGAGGCAGAGAAGCCTGGCTCCTCTCTTCTTCCAGTTTCTTCCGTTGGTAGAAACGGACCAGAAGGCAGCAGGCAAGGAAATCTGGAGCTATAACTTGCAGGCTTCTAGCCCCCAGAAAAACAGAGGAAAGCACAGAACAGGGGTGGAGCTGAGAAACAATAGGTATGGAACCAGCACCTGCTAGCATCCTCATTTGACAGCTGGGGCTAGGTAACAGTGTTTCTCTCAGAGGTTTTCTGTGAGAATTATGAGTTAACAGATATACAGAGTCTACTGCATACCCGATCAGGGGAGATCTGAGTAAACCCTGGTTGCCTTTTCTCCTGTGCTAGCGCATACCTAACTCAGTCAGGTGGGCCTTCCCTGCATGTATTTTTCACTGCCTTCCAGCTCTTTGGCCTAGAGATGGAGTGGATAAAGTCTTAGTTTGGCTCTTGGAAGAAATTGTCAATGTTGGCTGCCGAGAGATCTCGGTAATTTCTTGCCTCTTAGGCCCTCTGTTCTGGCAACTGGGCCAGTTTCCTCTCTTTCAATCCAGTTATTCAGGCTCAAGTGGTCATACCATCCTCCTTCCACTGTCTAGTCCAGGTGGAGTTTCTTACTGACAGTTCTGTGCTCCTTGTTAAGGCAGCAGTCCCAGCCCCGCTGCCTTCTCAGCCGCAGAGGGTCTGATCTCCTATGCCATCCAGAAGGGTCACCTGTCACCCAGGTATATTCAGCCACTTCTTCTGAAAGAAGAGATCTGCCTGGACCCTCAACAACCAGTGATGCCCAGGAAAGGTAAGACCCTCCATGCCACCTCACCTCCTTGTTGCCACCCAGCCATGTTTGGGAGTGCTTTCTGCCTATTAAACTCCGTGGGATAATGGGAGCAAGAACATCTCATACCTTGAGAGCTGGAAAATTCTGAGAGGGCATCTTCCTGGCATCCTCTCCATCCCATCAGAACGATATAGCCACGGTCTTTTTCTTAACAAATACATATGTACACAGATGTTCACTCAATCAACAGATATTTGCTGCATAGCAGGCACTGCCTTAAGTACTGAGCATACAGCTGTGAACAAAACAGATGAAACTCTTCACCTTCAGGAAGCTTGCACTTCAATGAGAAAAGACAGAAAATGAACAAAACAAGAAGTAAATACATATGATGTTAGATGGCATAAAGGCTATGGAAAAAACAGAGTGGGAATGGAGTGAGGTAAACCTGTATACATATTTGTGTCTATTATGTGGAGACGTGGAAACACACATAAACACACATGCCTTTCTAGACACAAAAACCAGCCAAACTCCAGCACAACCGCAGCTCAGAGAAGAACTTGCATTCACAGATGATGCTGACATCAGAGTGCATATAACAAAAAGCTGAGTAAGAAAAAGAATGCACTATTTTGAAGCAAATAAGCAGCATCCTAAAACTAGTCAAATTAATAAGCACGTTCGCTACTGTGGACCTTTACTTTGGATCAATGATATTTTTTAAATTAGCTTTTTAAAATTGCAAATCTCTAAATAAAATGTTTCTTGCTTTTGGACAGCCACTATCTTCAATAGTGATAATTCCTTAATATTTGTACAGTTCTTTCTAGATTTCAGGTTGTTTCCACAGATACATGTGATCAGTTCCGAGAGTCCACTGACTTCTGCATAGTGGCCCTGTGACGTAAGCACACACACCTGCACATGTGTCTGCAATGCATAGTCTTTGGAAGACAACGACCATGCCTATGTATAACCCACCGTCCTTCCCCTTCCGCTTGTACACTGATTTCTGTGGGTATCGGGCCTGTAGATTTTTGCCCCAGCCCCTTGGTTCCAGCCATCTGACCCAGAAAATTTCCATCTGGACTTCCCCAGACTCCCACAGACGATCTTACATTAGGATGTGCCTGTGGGTGCTGGAGGCCTGGGAGAAGCTGAGGAATGATCCAGCCCGTAGTTAAGTGATTGCTCACAGGGAAGCAAAAGCAAATTCCTGTTTCCTTGGCTTTTTATCTTACCACAGTTTGTCCCAACATCATCAAAAGATCTGCTTGGGAAGCCAGAGAGACACACTGCCCTAAAATGAACCTCCCAGCCAAATATGTTATCATCATCCACACTGCTGGCACAAGCTGCCCTGTGCCCACAGACTGCCAGACTGTCGTCCGAAATACACAGTCCTTTCACATGGACACACGGAACTTTTGTGACATCGGCTATCAGTAAGTGGGATCAACTTGAAGACAACCCTCTTTTTCTTCAGGATTATAGGAGGGAAGGCTGTGAGAGGGAGCCGATGTTTCCTGAGCCCCTCCTTTGGGCTGGGTGCTTTCCGTAAGGCAACACATTTTATGTTTGCAAGGCTGGGCTGAGGATCATCAGAGCATAGCTAACGGTTAGTTACCTTGTTTGGGCATATCTCTATATGTTGGGAAGATTCTGAAGAGAAGGCATTAGAAGCCTAGTGATAAAGCAAGACTGTGATACCCTCAGGAAAGGATGTGAAGGGTTGTGCCTTTTTTTTTTTTTCTGTTGAATTTTTTTTTTTAAATATATATATTTTATTGCGTTTTAGGTTTTGGGGTACATGTGAAGAACATGCAAGATTGTTGCATAGGTACATACATGGCAGTGTGGTTTGCTGCTTTCCTCCCCATCAACTATATCTGGCATTTCTCCCCATGTTATCCCTTCCCAACCCCCCACCCCCACTGTCCCTCCCCTAGTTCTGCTGACACAAGAACAGAAAATCAGACACCGCATGTTCTCACTCATAGGCGGGTGTTGAACAATGAGAACACACAGACACAGGGAAGGGAGCATCACACACTGGGGTTGTGCCTTTTTATGCCATCCCTTCTAACCTGTCAGAGACAAAGGCCTTGCTTAACCCTACCTCAGTCTGCCCAGCTCCAAACTCGCTCTCTCCGATGTTAGAATCCTGCTAGTCCTCTGTGTTACTCACCACATTCTATGGATGTAGAAACTTTGAACCTCTCGGGGCCTCTTTTGTCTCATCTCTACAGTAGGGAAAATACTTCATCTGTTTGAAGATAGGGAGTGAGATCAAAATATTCTCTTTTGGTACCTTTAATGCCAGGTCTGTAATAAAGAAACACATTAAACTAATGGAGTAGAAAAGCTACTTGGAAGGTGTCTTGGAATTTTCATAGGAAGGATTTACAGCTGGAGTATAATATATTTCAATTATTCATTTGTGACTTAATCACAACATATCTTACAAAGTCTCAGGTAAATGTGCTTTTGCAAATGTGTTGTTCTGGGCCTACTGTCTCTCTCCGTTTTAACTCCTGTTTTTTTTTTTTTTTTTGAGACAGAGTCTTGCTCTGTCGCCAGGCACCAGGCTAGAGTGCAGGGGCACGATCTTGGCTCATTGCACCCTCCATCTCCCGGGTTTAAGCAATTCTCCTGCCTCAGCCTCCCAAGTACATGGGACCACAGGTGCGTGCCACCACACCCAGCTAATTTTTGTATTTTTCAGTAGAGATGGGGTTTCACCATGGTCTCGATCTTTTGACCTCGTGATCTGCCCGCCTCGGCCTCCCAAAGTGCTGGGATTACAGGCGTGAGCCTCTGTGCCTGGCCTTAACTCCTGTTTTAAAAGCAGCCTTTGCAAACAGGAGGGAACTCTTGCTTCACTTTTGAAGATTTTCCATAGGTGTGCTGTGGTTATTTAGCGCAGGTAACAGGAAACGGACTATAAATCTGGAAATTCCACATGGAAAATACTAGCAGTTGAGGGAATGTTTGTTTTCCTCTGTCATTCAGTCTTTAGAGACGCGATCCCTGTTCCTTGACTTTTCAAAACCTGTTGCGCTATCCGTCTCCTGCTCTAGTCTCATGACATGTCATCTGTAACTCTGATGTGGACTGTCATCAGGACAAAGCACCCACTCACACATTATTTTCCAGCTTTTTAATCGATAGTTATCGGACAGCTACTATGTAACTGGTAGCTGTTACAAGATATGTCAATCTAACAACAAACAGAGAGAGATTCTCCAAAGATAATGATTTTGGCCAGGCACAGTAGCCCATGTCTATAATCCTAGCACTTTAGGAGGCTGAGGCTGATGGATTGCTTCAGGTCAGGAGTTTGAGACCAGCCTGGGAAACATAGGGAGACCCTGTCTGTATAGAAAAACAGAATAATTAGCCAGGTGTGGTGGCATGCATCTGGAGTCATTCTCAGCTACTTGGAAGGCTGAAGCGGGAGGATCTCTTGAGCCTAGTAGTTTGAGGCTGCAGTGAGCCATGGTGAGCCACTGCCCTTCAGCCTGAGCAGCAGAATGAGACCCTGTCTGAAAAAACAAAACCAAAAGCAAGAAAGCAAAGATAATTAGTTTATCTGGGAGTGTGCAGGAAATTTGCAAACCTGGGATATGCATGCTATGGGAACCACAGGCATATCCAAAGAGGTTGAGGCTAGGGGAAGCTTTTAAAGGCAAAGGGAAAAGTATAATTTGTTTTGAAATATAGGAACACTGGAGAACATTGGTGCTTATCGCAGGAGGCAGGAAATGACACCACTTCATTCGTGGAGACAGTGTGTCGGGCAAGTGTTCCCCATTGGCCAGATGTCCCTGTGACTAGTAACAAGCTGCAGTTTCAGAAGTTTTTGGCAAAAGTTCTTGTTACAGGATGCCTAAGAGCCCTTCAGAGAGTCTTTTTGCTAGTTCTTATTGTAGGCTTGTGTGCATGAGGGTCCTCCCTTCTCAACCTCCCAGCTTTATTCATTTTTGTTAGAATTTGACACAAGTGACTCCATTTTGATTCTGACAACTTTCAGTGATAGATATGAGAGAGGGAAGGATGGCAAGTAACTACAATTCAAAGCGTCGAGCACTGTGATGGATGCAGAACAGAATAATGTATAGGATGAGCCTCTGATAAAAACTTTGCAGGGGGTGATTGGGGTCTGAGAAGGGCTTCTAGAGGGAGGAGTATCCTCACTGGGACATGGATAAGGAGGGAGAGTGGAGGTTATTCAGGCAAAGAAGGAAGAAGAGCATCTGGGTGAGGAGGAACAGCATTTGCCAGTGCCTGGGGTACAGACAGAGCACTGCAAAAAGATTTGAAAGAGAGGAGAGGTGAGCGGTACAGATGGGAGGGCCTGTGGGGGCCACGTTGTGGAGGGCTTCATAGCGGGCTCGGAGAGACTGGCTCTATTTGAAAGGCAGCTGCAAACTATTTAGGAGGTCATGCCCTGTGGTAGGATTTGTATCTTAGAAAAATCACTCTGGGTGCTACTTTAAGAATGGACTGGAAGAAGGCAAAACTCTGGCAAGAAGCTATTGCAGTGATCCGGTGACTTGGAGCAGTCGGCCTAGAGAGAAGTGAAGGAATTTAGAAGCTGTGTAGGAGACACGATGGACAAGCTCTGACTAGTGACCAGGTGGGCTGAGTGAAGGGCGGAAGGCATTCGGCGTGTTGTCCAATCTCCTAGCTGGAGAAATTTTAGAAGAAGGTGGGTTTGCCTGGACGTGTTTTTAAAGTAATACTTGAATCTGTGGGAATAATTGCCCGGAGAGAAAAGGACCTAGACCAGAGTGCAGAGGAGCACCACGTTTGAGGAAGGGAAGGCGGGTGGCAGAGGGGCCTGAGGGAGAGCAGGGGGAGGAGACCCAGGAGGGGTGTGCATTTTAAGAGAGTGGTCAGCAGCATCAGCGTAGTCCAGAAGTAAAGTAAGTGTCCGTTGTACTTCGTGCCAGGAAGCCACTGCTCACCTTAGAGGGGTCACATTCAGTGGTGTGGTGGGAACTAAGGACAGGTTGAAGTGGATTGTGGTGTTTTTTCTTTCTTCCTTGTCCACACTGGCACGTAAGAGACGCCCACCGATATTGGATACATGGATGATAGAAGGAATGAATGGTTGAAGGAGTGAAGTATTTGAATTCTGCTTCCCAGAGTGACTTTCTTCATTCTCTTTTCCTGATCCAAGCTTCCTGGTGGGCCAGGATGGCGGCGTGTATGAAGGGGTTGGATGGCACATCCAAGGCTCCCACACTTACGGATTCAACGATATTGCCCTAGGAATTGCCTTCATCGGCAACTTTGTAGGTAAGGGATGAGCATGGGGTTAGAGGGGTGCTGGGGGTGAAGTACGGGAAGCACGGGGGGAAAGGCAGCCCTGTGGTGTCTGGCAGTGTGAATGCAACATGTTAGCTTTAAAGTGGACTCTCAATAGAGGATGCCACCAGGATACCCTTTCACACAGAGCATTTACTCCCAAATCCACCCACGCCCATGCCTAGCTCCACCTCACTTTATATCCAAGGCAAACATGGAGCAAGCGGGGGGAAAAGTCTTTTGCAAACTTCAGTGCTTTTATCTCTCAGTTGGCAAATGCGTCCGTCTATTGGTAGCCATGGCAACAATTTGGGGCGCACCAATGCCTGTCTGGAAAGCCAGCGGGCGGCCCAGTGGTGCTGTATTTGCTTTGTACCTGCTCAGAAGTGTGCTGTGCCGTAGTCCTCCTCCAGAGCAGTTTTTAAACTTTCTGGAATAAACTTTGGCACGGAGGCATCAGAGAAAGCAATGACCTTGTTTTCTGTTTGTGCCTGGTTGCCACAATTTACGTGAAAGTGTTGGCTATGATGATGGTGGAGTGGGGCAGGGTGGGGGAAGAGGGAAATTGGAATCTAGGTATTTGTCCCTTCCCTGATCAAGAAACTCTGAGACCTTAATGACTGATGGGGAAAATGTGTTTTGCAGAAAACCCTCCAAATGCTGCAGCACTGGAGGCGGCCCAGGACCTGATCCAGTGTGCCGTAGTCGAGGGGTACCTGACTCCCAACTACCTGCTGATGGGCCACAGTGATGTGGTCGACATCCTGTCCCCTGGGAAGGCTTTGTACAACATCATCAGCACCTGGCCTCATTTCAAGCACTGAAGGAGGCCCTGCTCCCTCCAAGACTGCCCTCCCTCCCCTGCTGGGCCTCTCCCATCCTCACCAGCCACCCTGGCTCAGCACCTTGTGTTCCCCTCCCCTGCCAGCCCATCCTGTCCCTCCTTTCTCAGGTTAGGATAGTCACATCCTAACCAGCATCCTGCCAGCACCCTCCAGGAGCCCCAAGACCTTGCAGCTGCGCATTCACAGCCCTCTTGGTCTGAGTTCAGACTCCCTGCCTCCTTACCTTCCTCTCCCCCAGGGCACCTACTTCCTCAGCCAGGCGAGACAATGAACTGGTCCTTGTGGCATCTCTCTCTCTCTCTCCCTGTGCCCCTCTGCCTGGCGAGCCTTCCCTGTTGTCTGCCTGGAAGCCCTCACCTTTTACCCCTTGCTCATGACCAGGTCAGCGTGCCCATACCTCCTCTCTGCTCACATATGGACTGGTACATATTTGGATGCAGCCCCTACTTTTCTTAAGGGCTGTAATTGTTTATAGATGTGTCTGTCCTCTCCTCTGGGTTGTAAGTTTCTCCAAGGGAGGAACTGTATTTTATTCACATCTGTCCTCAGTACCTCAGCAGTGTTTGGAGTTTAATAGTTCTACAAATGTTTGTTAAAGAAAGCATGAATAAATGAATGAGCGGCCCCAGGTCCCTGTTCACCTTGCCAAGTTTCTTTGGCGCTTCCTCCCTGGGGCAGCCTTCCTGGATAGTGTCCCCATCCCACCAGCATTCTCATCTTTCCTGTTCCCTCCCAGTCCAAGGCTCAGAGCTGACTCAGGTCACCTGTCTGTAATGGTGACTGTATCGCTAAGTTCCAAGTCCGTGTTCCCCAAGAGAACCCTGAAGGCAGGGAGCATGTGCTTTTTTAGGGTCAGGCCAGGGCTGTGTCCACACAAGCTGCCCAGTGCCTGCCACTTGCCCTTGCCCGGCAGGGCCCCACTGGGTGCTGGGCTGAGAGAGAGCCCAGAGCCCTGGTGCTCTGTATCCCACCCTGCTTGAGTTCCTCTTGCCCAGAAGGAAGCTCCCTCTTTCAGACAGCGGCGTGAGGACTGTACTGCTGTTTACTGGAAGTGTGTGAGCTGCCTCTTGTTTTCACAGGTTTTAATCTGAAAACAAGGGAAGGTCTTGACGAAAAGAACCAAACTAAAATATTTGAAGAGATTTCTTCAACTAGGAGTGAACATGGCCTGTAACACAGCCCCAGCAGATCCTAGAACATGTGCCCAACGTGGTCAGGCTACAGTTTGGTTTTATATCTTTTAGGGAGACATGAGACATCAATTGATACATGTAAGATGTGTATTGGTTTGGCTGAAAATGAAGCAGGTGGGCAGGCGGTAGGGAGGGATTCCAAGTCATAGGTGGATTCAAAGATTTTCTGTACGCTGGGCACGGTGGCTCACGCTTGTAATCCCAGCACTTTGGGAGGCCGAGGCGGGTGGATCACGAGGTCAAGAGATCGAGACCATCCTGGTCAACATGGTGAAACCCCGTCTCTACTAAAACTACAA